TTTTTTTGGATAAAGTCAAAACAACTGTACATCTAGCACATACTTCAAAGTCCTCATCCCAATGTCCTCTCCCTCCTTCTCCTTCTCTTCTGCAAATTCAAATGAAGTAAATGCAATAACTCTACTTGTTCTGGTTGTAGTCAAACTTGTCTGTACTGGATTGGTCCAGTTGATGTGCCACTAACTCTTTAGTCAATAGTTGTGAAAAGATTAAAACCATTTCTTTTCATATCTTTAATAGTGATGTTGAATCAGCTCCACACTAAAGGACCACTGCGCTCGGCTGGTACATCTCCATTACTTTGGTCAAGTTAGTCAAGTAGCAAAAAAAAATTTGAAAAAGTTTGTTTGCCTCACGTTATCATTCCCCTCGTGACACCCACACACACTCCATGACGACCAAATGTTTGTTTGAAAAACACGCATGCGCGGGAGAACAAATGACGTAACTACAAATAAATAAGCATTAAAATAAAAACAGAAATAAATAGAGAAAAAAGTTTCTTAATAATACTTTAGATCTTCAATCAAATCCGCATCTTGGTAAAATGAATAAAAATAAATATTTGTATTTTTTATCATCATTATTATTATTTCCACTAATTAGTCAAGACTTGACAACACTGGGCATTGAGTTTAAAAACATTAGAAACAGAGAAAGACAAAAAAGTCACCCAGCACTGACAAATACCACAGCTGATTGTTTAGCATATGATAAAAAAAATCATCAAAACATTTCCATTACTTGTTGTTATTTTAAAAGAAATCCATGTTACAGTATCTATGCTTGGGCTTACCTCTTAAGTTATTTAAGAAAAAACAAAAAAACAAAAAAAAACAGCCACTGCTTACTTAATAGATTTCCAGAACAAGAGCAAATATTTGTTTATGTTTATCTAATTACTGCAAACATATGTAATTAAATGACTTTATAGGGACAGGGAAAAGTAAAATAGCTTTAAGGCAAAAAAAAACCAACAAATTAACAAAAGTGACAATACACGGTACACGAGAACGGTACATTTCAGACTGCATTTTGCTGACTGTGAAATTTGGTGGAGGAGGAATTCCTATAAACACTCTCCTCAACCTTGTGGACAGTCTTCCCAGAAGAGTTGAAGCTGTAATAGCTGCAAAAGGTGGACCGACATCATATTGAACTCTGGGTTAGGAATGGGATGGCACTTCAGTTCATAGTAGGAGTCAAGGCAGGTGAGCCAATACTTTTGGTAATATAGTGTATCTTTCAACATATGGTCAAGTGGTCTTTTTTTTTTCTTTGTAAAGTACTAGGGCAACATCTTCAACCCCAGGTCTTGTCCATAAACATCACTGGACAACACATAAAACTGCTTCATTATGTAGTTTAAACGTAAAAAGTTTGTTTGTGTCACATTATCATTCCCCTCGTGACACCAACACACACTCGATGACGACCAAATGTTTGTTTGAAAAATGTGATCGCAGACTTCTGGTATAATTTAAAAGCTCTTGCCACGCATGCACGGGACAACAAATGACGTAACTACAAATAAATAAGCATTAAAATAACAACAGAAATAAATAGAGAACATATGAGAAGTTTCTTAATAATACTTTAGATCTTCAATCAAATCCACATCTTGATAAAATGAATAATAAGAAATATTTGTATTTTTTATCATATTATTTCCACTAATTAGTCAAGACTTGACAACACTGGGCATTGAGTTTAGAAACATTAGAAACAGAAAGACAAAAAAGTCACCCAGCACTGACAAATACCACAGCTGATTGTTAAGCATATGATAAAAAAAGATCATCAAAACATTTCCATTACTTGTTATTTTAAAAGAAATCCATGTTACAGTATCTATGCTTGGGCTTACCTCTTAAGTTATTTAAGAAAAAACAAAAAAACAAAAAAAAACAGCCACTGCTTACTTAATAGATTTCCAGAACAAGAGCAAATATTTGTTTATGTTTATCTAATTACTGCAAACAGATGTAAATGACTTTATAGGGACAGGGAAAAGTAAAATAGCTTTAAGGCAAAAAAAACAAATTAACAAAAGTGACAATGGTATCTTTCAACATATGGTCAAGTGATCTTTTTGTTTCTTTGTAAAGTACTAGGGCAACATCTTCAACCCCAGGTCTTGACCTGCTTCTTCACCTTGTCTAAAGACTAAAATCTTACAGAAGATTAAAAATATTCCCAATATTACCCAAACAGCTTGTGTTTTAAACGGCTCGGCTTGCATGTGTTTATCAGGTCTATGTTGTGTTTCCTGTGCTTACAATATCTTCATATGACAAAGCAAAGACGATCAGCTACTGTGTGTCTAAATGCCTCTTACCTTGGACCACAGACAACTAAATTGGCTCATGTAGCCCTGGTCTAATGTGTATTATTCTATTATATATGTCCTGGTCTTCAGTGGACCTTTATCTTTCTCTCTGTGTTCCTCATCAGCCTCTCTGAGCTAGGAAAAGAACCCGACTCTACTTTGCTGCAGGCTGCACTAAGCAAATAAATAGATTAAATGTAAATGTATCCATGCATACATACATAACTGAAGAAGATTTGTTCTTGTTACATTTACATTATATAGCAGTGGGAAAAATATAAAGATCAGCAATACTGATTTTCACATTAAGTTCAGCAAATGTTTAGTTTGTTTGTTTTATTTGCTGGTCAACAGAATCAACTCCATTAATTAATTCTATCTGCAACATACAGTGAAGTGGGGAAATGCATTTGGTTGCTTTTACAATTGACAGATAAAATACTGTAATCATATGTATTTAAAATTGTATTTTAATACTCTGCTATTTAATAAAAAAGCTAAATTAAGCCGTCTTGTTTTACTCCCTTTGTCAGTTCCCTAATTTAGGATATCTGTGTTTAGGAGAGTCAAGTAAATTCATAGAAAATGTCTTTCACAACCCTGAGACTGTAAGTTGGGCAGATGATCTAAAGGTCTCGCAAAAAAGTCCATTAGTGGATCCAGTGTGAAGAACTAATTCTAACAGTGCCTCGGGGGAGTAAACAGAACAAACACTATCAGGTAGGAACTCAGGCTAAAAAGCAGGATAATTATCTTTTTGTGGAGCTCTGGGTTGCCCAAAGCAAAGATAAAGATAACAGTGCACACACAGTACAAATATAAAAGGCGGCCGAGTGGCTAGTTGTTGTGACATAACCACTGACTACCAGTCTCGGCAGACCTACAAGGTAAATTGAAAATGGAAGGTAAATGCAAAGAGAATGAAATAGCTGCTATTGCAGACATCTATCAAAGCTTTGATCCTGCAGCATACTTACAAAATAACTACACTTCACCACGGGCCGACTTTGGAAGGAAGGACAGTATAGTGCCTTGGAAACTGGCTTGTTTTCACAGAGCCTTCACTGACGGTAAGAGGAAAATAAAATACATCTTATCTTCATGCATCTTATGTGTACCTTTGTATTTTGTTGTTAGTTTTCATACAGATTTATATGTTTGATACGTTTGTGCTCTAACCCTTTTAGGTGATATTAGTGGTGAACTACTTGTGGACATAGGTTCAGGTCCCACCCTGTACCAGGTGATGAGCGGCTGTGAGGTTTTCAACAAAGTGCTCTTGACGGACTTCCTGGAGGTCAACCGGCAGGAGCTGAAAGGCTGGCTTCAGGATGAGAAAAGCAGTTTAGACTGGACACCATATTTCCAGCACGTTTGCAAGCTGGAAGGACGCGGGTAAGCAGTCACTGTTGAGTCTATAGATCGCATTTATCTTTACCTATATCTATCTTCAGTCATTGATTTTCTGTTGTTCTACCAAATGTAAACAAGCCAAACAAGGCTGTCAAATAATGCCAAGTTCTAATCTGTTTTATGGAAAAATATATTTATTCGTGATCATAGTTTATCATGATTATGCAACATAGATACACTTTTCTAAATTGGATTGGATTATTTTCAACAAAATTTGGTTGATATTGTTCTCTTCAGTCCCTCTGCAGTGAGAGAGAAAATCGCAAGGCTCCGTGAGGTCGTCAAAGACGTAGTTCCAGTAAATATCCATCTTCCTCAGCCCGTGTCCCCTGATGTTCTTCCTCAAGGAAAGGCCGACTGTCTCGTGTCCTGCTTCTGTCTAGAGAGTTCCAGTCCTGACCTGGCTACTTTCACCAAGGCTATGGGTCATATTAGCAGCCTTTTGCGCCAAAATGGTCACCTCCTGCTTATAGGAGCCCTAGAAGAGAGTTACTATTTGGGGGGCCCAGGAGTAAAGATTCCTGTGGTTCCACTGAATGAGGCCCAGGTCTGTGCCAGTCTACAGGAGACTGGCTTCACCTTAATCCGACTAGAGGTTTATACTCTGCCTCGGGACATGAGTGTTGGTGTGGACGATGTGACTGGGGTATTTTTTGTAAAAGCTAGGAAGAATTGAACGGTCTAGTGAATTCTAGCATTTCAATTGTTAAAAGATACATTTGAGGTGCTAATTATAACTATACTCAGAATGCAGTTTCATTCATTTCGTGACTGTATTGATTGAATCAACTCCAAATAAATTGAATTGAGTTTGAAGTCATTCAGCTCTGATTGATTGATTGATTGACTGCCTGATTGTCAGTCTTTTTTGATGGTACATTTTCTACTCTCACCAAGGTATCAAACATTCAAATAAAAATCATTAACTGACATCAGCAGCTTAAAATATACATCTACAGCAGTAGACATATGTTAATATATATTTTAATGTAATATATAAAAACTAACGGTCTCTCCTGGATCCATGGATCAAAAAGGCCACATTGAAGGTCATGCAAACAATGAAGAGTAAGTCTACGTCTAAGCTTTTGAGCTAAAATTAATACATTGGGTAAAAACGCCAGAATTAGGGACTTAAAATTTCCAAAAATCACTTACCTTTCTGTCTCAGCCGTTCATCCTGACCTGGTTCAAGCCGCAAATTAGGAATAACTTCTTACACGTGTGGCCCACATACCGAGGAAGCAGTGCGGCCCGTTTACGCATGCGCATAACCGAAGTAAATCGTTGCAAATTGCCAACTACACCGTTACCTATCTATCTATCTTATCTATCGTCTGAGAAATTATCATTTTAACATGCTGTATATTCAAAACATCGAACAAAACACTAAACAAAGCATAGTAAACAATATAAACTGCTAAATCGTTAGGAAATAAAGGCACAAAAAACATTAAATAAAGCCCTACTCTAAATACTTCTACTTTAATTTCCATTAAAATAAAAAGGTCGTTTAGACTTGCTTAGCGTTTATCCTTCAATTTAATTAAAAATGAAAAACAATGACTCGAAAAATTTTCAACCTAATACATCATCTTCCCAACTCTTATATCAATGCAGAGCGTGAATTATGGCTTTGTGGAAATAGGCTGTACCTCCATCTTTTTTTGGTCTGTACGACAAGGACTGCCAAACAATTAGATACCACTAGGTGGTAATATAGAGCTATAAAACGACTCTAAGTGTGGGTTGGGTAACTGCAATAGACTAGATAGAAGGTGTAATTTTACATATTGAACACCGAGTGTCAGTACAAATCAATTTATTTGTAAGTGGAAAAAATATTAAATTAAATAAAAAATTATATAAGATAATATAATTGTTTTCTTTTGTTTTTTCAAGGAAATGCTTAACTTTTTGGAATGAATGTGTCACTTGCTATTTGTGTCACCAAAATGTAAATGTAAATCATTAAAACACGAAAACATGACACTGTCGTTGATGTATTGTTTGGTTTTAGCCTGTCCTGTGTACTCAGGTGACACAGCCAAAGTGTTGTTGTGTAGCTCAAAAATTTGGTGAGGGTATTTGACTTAAAAACTAGTTGGTTTCTGTTTTTATTTTATTTCATATTTTATCTTTTTCACATAACTAACTGCACACAAAAATGTTATATAATTTTAAACAGAAATACTTGCTTAAGCAATGGTGCTGCCAAGGAAAAGGGAAGGAAGGTGAACTACTTGTCATTGTGACACAGCACACCACTGCACACAACACAATGTGACCTCTGTTTTTAACCCATCACCAATGTGAACAGTGGGCAGCTTTAAGCTGCCGGGGAGCAGTGAGTGGGGACGGTGCCATGCTCAGAGCACCTCTGTGGTAACTTGGCAGCTGGTGGACTCGAACCTGAAACCTACCGGACCCAAGCTTCTTTAACCACCAAGCGGGCACTGCCTTTAACTCTAGTGTGATACAAAATGAATAAGTATATTGTGCAGAATACAAACATGACATGAAGCAAAAGCGTACATGGATATGTCTTTATTAAAGCATGCATCTCTGTCTGTACAGTGAGCTCAAGCTGCTGCAAGGGCTGAAGTCCTTTCTATTTCATTGATCATTTAGTGACCGCAGCATTTGAGATTGTAAAGTTAACCCAAAGGTAGAATGATATTCAAAGTGGTTAACTACAAAGGTCACCTCTGCCAAAATACTTATAAATTCAACTCAGTTCTGTTTAAATAATAAGTGTCAGGAACACTAAAAGTGCCAAAAAACTAAAGAAACTACATTTTTACAATAACGTCTATGCACTAGAGGTGCTATATACTGCTATAGTGAAAATATCCCCTTCAAGCCTTCAGTGATGTTGTTGAAAATTTAAGAGGGACTCTACTGGTTTGGAATGTATCATAAAAATCAATTTTCTTTGTTAATGATATTTCTAAGTTTCTTTTGTCGACGGCTTGGTCCACGTTTCCTACCATTTTGAAAAATAAATATAACACTAAATCACACCGAAGACCTCAAACTCGTACCTTTGACCCTACAAATACCATTCAGATGTTTATAACATTATTCGTCATGTTTTAAAAGTCAGTGTCTGTCAGAACCCAAACACAATCACTACACATTAACACAGCGTTTGCAAGTTTTCTGTCTTACTGAACCAGATTTGAATCTGTTCAGGCTAAAACCACATTTATTGACACGTGAAATATGGCAAAGGCGATAAGCTGCTGCCGTGTTCTTCTGAAGATACTACATTGACATGTTACATATTACAAGTTGGACTAGAGGGCAGTTGTGGAAAAGCAGCTGATGTTAACGATAGCGCAAGATGAAGGAACTTCAGCCCAGCTTTAGTGGTGCGAAAACTGAAATCCAAGTCCATGAGAACCTTGCTGTCCTTTAGGAGAAACCAAGGTCACTGACAAAACACTGTGGACTCATGAAAGTGGTAAACACAAAGAGATACTAAACAGCCCCAAGTATGCACAAAACACAACCAATGCAGGAGTTCAGAAAGCTGGGTTCCTAACAGTACTAGGACTTCTACAGGGTCCTCCGTTATCTTTCTCCTTCTGATGCTTTCTCTCCCTTTGACTTCCCCTTCTTCTCCATGTTTTTGGTACGGACCACAAACGTTTTACCAGAAACCTTCGCTGCCCAACGGTTTGCTCCGTCCAATCGGATCTGACACGGGGAGAGTTCAAACAGTAAAGACAAGTGCGACGCAAGTCTAGAGATACTGCAGCGTCGGTTACACACCTGTACGTAAGTCTGCCTGTGGGCTCTTTCCCACGTCTCGTGCCTCTTTTTCCTCACTGGAGAAAATAGGGGAGGAGTCTTCTTTGTCCGCAGAAGTGATTTCCAGAGAAGCCAGATGGGCCTGGGCCATCCTCTGTACAGCTACAACATGAATCGTTGCAAAAAGTTGCAGAGATGTTTTTATCAAGGTTGATCACCACTCCAACCCAACCTGATGAGGTTAACACGTTTTTCTATTATTATTATTATTATTTTTAAAGATTTATGGGAAAAGCTATGTCGTTATGGGAAAAGCTATTACACAGATAAACCGGCGACGATGTACTCTGAACTTGGGCTTACATAAAAACAGGAAGTAGTGGTTTAATCTGAGTCATTAACTCACTTTCTTCCTCTCTTATGTGTGTCTATGCCCTGTTGCTCGCACGCATCCTATAATCCAGGATGATCCAGGACAGACATCTGCCTCTCCTTGTCATCATCCCACATAACACACATAAATTCACACACATACAGACGTGCACACCTTCTGCGTCAAAACCATTGATGGTTATTTAGGATCTTCTGAGCTGTTTATTGGGTTTTATTTTAGCAGATTATGAGATAAAGAGTAAAACAACATTTACCTTTAAGTGAGGGAGGCTGGTAGGTTGACGTCGGTACCAGTTTCACTGCTCCGGTTTCTCCCAGAAGCCACTGTAAAAAAAAAAAAAAAAAAAAAAATTAGACTCACGTTACAAGTCAAGAAATAACGTTGGCACCTCAAGAAAAAAATAAATGCTATTTATCTAATAAATAAATAAGTAAAATAAAAATAATTGGAAAATCAGAATGTGTCAAAAGCATTAAAATTGGTAGTATAAAATCTTGTGAAAAATACAATTTACATGTTGGCATTGAGTGTCAGACTGGAGATGGAGGAAATTTGGAAAAACAACTGACACCAATGTCAAATGTCCCACAGGGACAGGTACGGTGCAGCAGTGTGGAGTGACAGGTGAAGTGGTGAAATGTGTACTGTAGTAGAAGAGGTAAGACATGAAACACCACAAATACAACTGCCGTCAAAGAAAGTATTGACTCCACTTCATGTTTGTTGTTGTTCCTCACCCACTCGCTCTCATCAATTTGACACTTGCCTCCACATATTCTTTCCCCCCCCCCCCCCCCCAGGTCTCTAAAAAGCACCTTTCCCTGTCAAATGTCACTCATTTCGAAATTAGTTTCTCTCCTTCCAAACCAGCAGGTCTACCTGGTGTGGGCTTTTTTCTTCCTCTGGTGAGGGCGGATCTGTCGTTCTGAAGAGAGTAGCTGGTGTTGGCCTCCGCCTTCGAATCTTAGACAGACAGAACAAGAAAACAATAACTGTCACATGTTGATGACTAGGAACAGCAAAACAGCAAATGGAGACATGTGCTAAGTCGTACTTTGTTAGCGTTGTGGTTTGGGTTTATCCTTAAGTGCAGGAGTAAATTTCAAAATCCAACCACTCATCACGACTGCAGTATAGCTCACACCCACTGTTCCACCACCGCCGCGCCTTCTCTGCACACTCACATGAGCATCATGAGTTTCTATGTAACATCACAAACTTGTATAAAGCCGAGCGTCGCCACAGCACACAGTGTTGAGACCAACGCCAGGTAAAATCAGCCCTGTAAAGTATTCTGCAACACGATATATTTATCATTGCTTCTATTTTTATCGAACATCTTATTGCTGGGAGATGTTGTATGAGAAGCTGCCAAACCAATCACAGCTCAGAGTGTAGGCACTGAATGTGTGGGCTGCAACTTTCAAGTGACTCCTACAGGCTTTTGTCCTTCAATACTTGCAGATATGTATGTATGTGTGTGTGCAATCTGTGAATTCATTTCCACACTTGAATCTTTATTTATTAGGCAAAGCCAAAGAAGTAACAATGTTGCTAACGATTGTACAAAATAAAATTCTTACTAAATATGGTTTCATTTTGATTTCAGTTACTTTTTAGACATTGATCAGAATATTGTCACTGGTATCCGAGTATTTTTCTCGGATCCTCTCCTCTCTACTTGCCTGCACATACACTGTGTAACCGTCTGGTATTTAAACTCACTGCGGCCAAAACTGTTTGCACACAATTGGAGAAACAAAAGTAGCCACAGGTTGAACACTCACGAGTCTCTGAGAGCCTTTCCAAACACACTGACCTTTTTTATCAGTGCCATAGCCAAAATGTTAAGCACCTGCAGGTCACAGAGTGTTTCACCTTCGCTTTTCACGTAGGTCAGTTAGGCATTTTATGTGACTATCAAATCCTGATGTCAGCGGTCTAGGAAACAAATCCACGCTTAGCTAAGCTCACTGGTAACTAAGTGGAAATCTTGAGGAACAAAGCAAAGATTTGATCAGTTATTGATTATTACTAAAGCATGAATCTGCCTTGTCTGTGTCATGGTACAAATGCTATGGAAGCCATAGATGCGCTCACATCTGTGGTACAACCAAGAAATGGTACAAGCTCCACCTTTGCAACCCAACAATTGTTAATCTTGGTCGACTTTTGGTCACCGCTGGTTTCTGACACATTTTGTTGCTGTTAAAATGAAAAAGAGAACAAAGAGTCGGCAATTCACACAAACAACGTTTTATAGGTGCCAGGTTGGGCTGTAAAAAATCATGTGTCGACAATACTTGGCTGGACGTTATTGATCTATAAATGTAATTACATTCCAGTTTGAAACCCTCTTTCCAATCCCTTCTCTGGGGAGAAATAAAGGTTTAGGATACTGCACCTGACAGCCGATGAAGACTCCGCTCTAGGGAACCTCAGGCCATTAAGACGCGGATGTCCTGAAAGCTGAAAAAACCACCTCCAGGACCACTTAGCTGAGGACTGAGTCCAGGAGTTCTCTCAGTGTTACCTTGACGTCCTTCACTGGCTTCAATATTGACTTTTATAGCTGCCCTGTCTCCATATACTGCACAGGCTAACGTTATTACCGTTCACACTGCAGTATTTAGAAGAGACAGTTTGTCTTTGTCCATGTCAGCACGTCTAGTTTTTATTTTGAGGTGATTCAGCATCAGCAAAATAAAACTGACGCAAGCACTCGTCAATTCTGTCGTGAATATTGGAAAACTGTCATGATGCAGTTTTGGCTTGCCATTCATTTCCTTGTAAGGTTAAAATACTCTAAGTACTGTAACAGCGGTTTACGTCTCTATTACGGATGTTGGCCCGCCGCGATATTAGCATATTATGTAATATATGTAGGAATCGTTATGTTTTTTTTGCTCCTGGGCTTCGTCAAAAATAGTTTTGGGGGAAAAGGGCTGTATATTAAAGTGAAAGTCACTAGATGGCAGTGTTGCAGGCTCATTTAATTCATCTCCTACTCATACAGTGGTTTGTACAGATAAATAAATATTATCAGGCTTATATCGGTATCAGTCGATATCGAAATCAGAAATTAAGTGTTTGGACAATATCCGCATATCCGATATCGGCAAAAAGTTAATATCGGACATGCCTACTCTCTACATTCTTTGGGCACAGATGCCTTGTCACTTTTAGGACGAACAAACACTAAGGCTGAACAGCTTTGTTTAATCCCACAGCAGCCCACAAGATTATGCAACTGTCTGCCAAGATGAGTGCTGAGAGAGGAAAACATCGTATCTCGTTTAACGTTTTTAGACGTTAAAGGGGAAGTATGAAACGGCTTCTGTTAAGTGATTCCAAATACTGCTTTAAACACAGCAGCCCTTATTTTGGAGGCGTGCACTTGGGCAACATTGCTGTATTTTTCCAATTTATTTGAAAAATCTAACTGAGTCCAAACATTCGCCACTAGAGCAAGCAGTATGGTGAACTTTGTTAAATGAATGGCTTGTTCTTCTGGAAATTGTTTTGTCATTTTGTACGTTCTAGTGGCGGCCAAACTTTGACAAAACTTATATTCCAAATTGCTAAGAGACGTAAGACTTAGAACACCCCTAATTATACAATATACAGATTTATTTTTGTCAAATTAAGGAATGTGTGTTCAGCTTGATTAATTACAAAAATGATCATGACTAATCGCGATTAATCCACAGCTACACTAAAAATACATCAAACATTACATACTTTAGTTTCTAAACATACTTCCTATCCTTTGAGTATAATTATCGCCACCTGCTGGGTATTTTATTTCACCAATAAACATGGGCAACTTCAATAGAAACTATTCCGCTTCGATTTTTCTTCGAAGGTAGTGTGTTTGCCTTACACCCGGAGGGTCGTGGGTTCGATTTCAGACCAGTTTAAATTTCTGGTGAAAAGGCCTACAGGTTATATGTTAAGAAAATCTCACTTAACCTTCCTTTAAAAGTTGTCAATAACTCAAAAGGTCGTATGAATTATGTCATGCCAAAAAGATTGGGATTTGACCTCATTACTCCTCCATTACAAAGTCACTTTAAATCTGGTTCTCACCATCTCCACCTGTAGCGGGTCAAGCTGGGCGGGTACGGAGGAGGGGACGGAGAACTGGATCTTCCTTTTTGCGTCCTTGTCCTCGTCTCTCTCCATCATTCCCGGCTGTGCGGGCAGCAGTGACTCCATGGCAGCGGCTGTCAGCAGCCCCTCGCGTGCACACAGATGACGGCGACTGCACGTAGAGTCGAGTCCGACTTATATATGAGGCTCTGTTGTCTGTCAACGGGAAGCGACGATTAAACGTGTTGTTTCACCGTCGACGCTGATGTAGATGAAAAATGTAACAGCACGTGTACGGAGTTGCATCTCAACTCGGCAGTGGATTCATGGGCTCGTGGTTTACAGCTCTGTGGAACTCCCCCCACCTCAGCCTCCTCCCCCGCCAGCCTCTCTCCCAGGATGGAGACATCCTCCTCTCTCTCTCTCATTCTCACTCTCTCTTTGTGAGTCCACCCCTCCGCCCCCGAACAATTTGAAGTTTATTCGAAACAGAAAACTGTGTCACGTGGTCCATAACCTAACAGATACTGAATTACTTGCGAAATGCCTGACGTCACACACACGCGCGCACACAGCTGCGTCATAACGTCGAGTGTCAGTGACGTGAATGATCAGTTGTCCTCACAGAAACATCATGTATTAATTCAGTCAGTCAGTCAGTCAGGAGAGTGAGTGAGGAAATCACAGTTGTCCCCCGTGTCTGGACCACTTCACAGGTCCAGTGTTGTGTTTGATTTAATGAACTCATTTACACCTATGCTTCCTGTGGGGCCTTCACTGCTCTGGATAATAACAACGGTGGAATATACATCTTTATCATTCCTTCCACTATTGTCACTGTTATTACTCCTCGTTATTTCCTGCCCCTTGATTTATTTTTAAGCTGTTTTTTTTTCATTCAGCCCTGGAGTTAAATGGGTCATTGTTCTGTGTCCGCTGGCTATTTGAGTTACTGTGGAAAATGTATAAGAGACAGTCGGTGGGGAAATTTATTGCCATGGAAACTGTTTCTCTCACAGTGAGGACTGTGTGTAACGCTCGTGCCTGTGTGTACAAGGACTGTGTGAGTGCAAGTTTCAAGTGAGGCACTTTTGGAGAAGAGTGTTTATATGCTAATGTTTAACCACGCTTGGTAGCAACACGGTGAAAACTGTACATTATCTCTGTGTGAACAGCCAACAGCCTACATCAGGTGCATGCAGTACTCATGGTTAACTACAGTATCTGTCCATAACAAACAGTGTACTCATGACTCCTATAGTTACAGGGGATGAGTTGAGGTCATAAGGATCTATAATATACAAATGTGGCTTTTGTTTGTTCATTACAGTTCATCTCAAATTGGTGTCTTCTTCTACTTTTTCTTCTTCTACATCAGGTATGGGCAAACTTTTCAAACTCAAGATCCAAAAGGATGTTAAGAATTTGAATAAATCGAAACTACTACAAAAGATAATTTTGGACATTTGCTGCCTGCCATCATTTAGTGGCTTCAACAGAAATTACAGTTGATTTGTTGCCATGCATGAAACAGAAGGATTGACATCAGTCTTTACTGTACCATGTACCAGTGTTTGGCAGGTCGGATTAGAAAGCCCGGCGAGCAGTATCCGGCCCACTGGCTGTAGGTTACCCATGCCTGTTCTACACATTATTGCATTTTAAAAATATAGCAGTTTCCTCTTTCCCAGTAAAACTTTTTATTTATTTATTTTACAAATTAAGAGACAGGAAACAGCTACAGTCTTACTGTGGTAACATTTTCACAAAAACATCCATAGTCCTGAACAAAACTTATACTAGGATAAAAGCAGTATTAACCCACAAAACGTGTCACTCTCCACATTGCCACGCGGTGACGCCAGTAATCGTGACTTCCGGTTTCAAATACGTTAGGATTAAGAAAATAAGGTTTTCAGATGGAAATCTTGTGTGTAAAATCTTCAGAGAAATATATGATTAAATAAAACTAACCCTAACCCTCTGCTTGCACTTCAAGCATAACAGTTACGTTGTCATACTTCAGTGAAATCTGAAACTGAAAGGTACATGGATTCAAATTTAATTCAAATATTACAATTTTGTTTTTTCCTTTGTGATGTTACACACATCTATACCAATCATACCAATCAATCACTATAACTATATCATACTTTTGAAAAACACCGTGCTAATAAAACTAAAATATTAGATTTTTTCTTTTAAATGTAATGAACACTGGCAACCACTAGATGTCATTACGTTGTTACTAAACCGTGTTAATTGTTACAGAGCCACTTCTTTTTGTTTTTGTTTAGGATTAGGTCGTGGTGGAACGAGGAGGTACACCCTGGTTTAAACAGCTAATTTACACTTAACACAAACAACATAACATTTAAATATTGTAAATATACTGAACGTGTACAACAACATTACATTTGTGTCGAAAACTAGGAACAAAATATTTATACTAAGTGTTTTAGGCTAAGTGTCAAACACCTGGTTACAACTAGTATCAGTAAGAGCACAAAGAGCCACAAGATACAGATAAACAAGAAGAAAATAATTCTATAACTGATATAAAAGCAAGCATGAGATTAATTAGGCCAGTCTGTAACTGGAGCCTTTCAAAGAATTGGACTATGAGGTATAAGACCAATAAAAACTGCTGAAAAGGCACCTGGAGCCAGAATATATGTCAAGGACAATCCTAAGAAGGATGATGCAAACTAACCTGTAAAACATAGTCCCCATAGTGACCCTCAATGGTGGGTTAATGATGTTCAAGTATGTGATGAAGACCTTTTTTGAAGGTCTTAGTGTAGAGTCATTTTTTTCTTGGTGGGAGAAATAGGTGAAAGACCTTTTTTGAAGGTCTTAGTGTAGGGTCATTTTTTTCTTGGTGGGGTAATTCCAATAAATGCTCTAAATATATAAAACCCATGACAAGCTAATTTCTATGCATCATGTTGATTATTAACAGAATATTTTCACAATTGCTTTTAGTCTGTGTTGCTACATGTTTCACTGCAACATATCTTTCTCCCTCTCCACTGTTATTTTCTCCCGTTGTCTCTGTCTCCTTCTCTCCTCTTGCCCCATCTTCTGGCCCCTCTCTGCAATCTGTGCCTCTGCCACCTTTGGCACCGGCCAGCCCACAGGCACCTGTGCCAACCCTGGCAAACCAAACCATAACGCTCGCTTAGCTCAGTTCAAATGGCTCGTTTGGGCAATTGCACCCTGACTCTGATCTATAAAGCAGTGCCCCTATTTATTTCTGGCCCTTTGTGTTTCCCAGCATGTACAGTATGTATGTATGTATATAATATCGGCCGAGCAATATTATCGGCCCGATATTAGCATATTATGTAATCTCTCTTACGTTATCTCTCTTTTCTTCAATAATTTAAACCCGATAATGCAATTTTTGTTTGTTTGTTGTTTTTTTTTTGCCAAATGATACGTGCCCCTAAAAATACTTTTGGGGATAAACAGCTTTGTATTAAAGTGAAAGTCACTAAATGACAGCATTACAGCTCATTTTAATAAATCAGTCATGTGTGAAATTTAGATTTGCCAAAGAGGCAGCAAATGTGCATGGCCAATTTCAACATAAGTCCCACTGGTACATTTCATGCACATTACTTGACATTTCAGAGACACAAATTGTGGATTAAACATTACATTTTGGTAAATTACACAGCACAAAAGTTTTAATTAATCTGCTCAAAGTTTGGTCAGTGCAGCATAAACTACAAAGGGCACAAACGTTCTAAGGTTCTGCTCTGGATCTGTTCCATGTGGTCAATTTTGCTTTGTTATAGTGTTTGTTACTGATTTCTGCAAATCTCTGCACAAAAATTGCTACATGCTAATGCACAGCTTTAAACATAGCTCCACCTAGTGGTAACAGAAACCGATATAATATACACAGAACGTGTATTAATATGATACATAAGATAACATGAATTTTGAACACGTATTTTCTTAAAGACAAATATCCTCAAAAAACATATGGGATGCAGTTACAATAACACTGAATCACACTGCAGTAGTTCCACGTTTCCTGTGGAAACCACTGCATTAGATTGTTAACATATTTTTATAATAAAAAGATATTCACATTGCTGCGTCACTAAAATGTCTAATTAATCTCTTCTGGGGAAAAACTGCAGTATTCTAGTGCAACAAATTCCAAAATGATACACAATGGAATATCACATGACTGTTTACATTGAATCAAAAACAAGATATTCACAAACGATTATATGAACTGGCCAAAATTGTCATAAATAAAACTAAATTCAAATTCAAATGTCAAAAACGAATGTATTCGTATATGTAAAGCCGTTTGATTTTCGGATGTTTTTATTTCCTGAATCATAAGAAACTTTAGTCCGTTTTCGAGTTGCTTTGGTACAAAACGGTATCATGTTTACATGAACGCATTTAAACGAAGCACAGACGTACGAAACGGTAAACACGACGAAGAAGCTGGGTCCATGTGTTTCTTAACCATTTGCTGTGCTTTATGAACTATTACACATTTAATTGGAAGAAATAACCAACCTTAACCTGCACACACCCACCCAGCACAAAGGTCCGAGGAGCCCTGATACTGGAGTTGTTTGAATTTCCTGCTCGTTCTTTTCAGCCTGTTTAACAAAGATAATGTGAATGATTTCTAGATTCATTAATATTTTTTTTCCTTGTCAAATCCTAATCAGGATGAATTATTTTCAAATCACGTCTCGTGTGTACAAAGATGAGAAGGTGCATTTCAAAAAGGTTTTAATATAGAATTGAATAACGTCATTTAAGGGTTATGACGTATTATTTTTATTTATTACGTTTTCATTTTTTTCCTTCTTTTTTTTGTGTGTGTGTGTGTCAAAGATGGAGACTATAGGAGAAGCTGCTTGAATCCGCCGCCTTTGACTCCTTATTGCATTTTCTCTTTCAGCTCGGTGACAGATGGCGAGTCCCTCTCCCCCAGGGGGAAGCCAGTCTCTGTGAATGCGGCCGCATGTCAATCACCGGCTCTCATGTGATGGCTCTTGCCAATGACGTGCCAGCCATATGGGCCTGGCATCAGAGCTGGTATGTAACCCACCCAGTCCTGCCTCTAAGGTGCCACTCGGCTCCCTCCATGCGGTTGGGTTGGGGATAGCAGCATCAGCATCAGCATCAGCTCAGCATCAGCAGCATCATCATCATCAGCAGCAGTAGACATGAGCAAGGAGACAGGAGAGGAGAGAGAGGTGTGAGCAGAGCAGAGCACAGCCGAACAGAGCGCAGCGCAAGGCGTGTGGATGAGATGCCCACCCGGAGAGACATGGTGTAAACAAACCCGCTCCAGCCCCGTCACTGAGCTCCACCGCGGAGGTAGGATGCGCACATTTTGCACAGTATTTTAGACGCTCACCTGTGTTTGTTTTAGCCTTTGTGTTGTTGTTGTTGTTGTTGTTATTATTGTCAGTGTTGGTGTTTGGTGCTTCAGCTCGTCTATAGGAAATTAGGGTTATCTCTCTGTACTCTTCTCTGTCCTTCTCCTGCATGCGTCTAACTCAAACACAGACATCCAGTCTGCGCAGCGCCGCTGATGTAGATCCGTCCGCAGGTAGAACAGGAAATTCACTTTATAATGGGATATCTAATACGACTTCAAGTGGTGATAATTGTCATTCAAACTAAAATACATTAGAAAGGATAGTGTTTTTTTTTTATTATACTAGTGTGTGTGCGTTGTGTGCGTGTGCGCGCGCCCCACGACGTGCTTCAGAGCACGGGGGCGTGGGGGAGTATAATCCTCAGTAGAGACAAGGACCGCGGTAATTGACAAGGTATTGGTTGGCATTAATTACATTGTGGTTGCAAGATAAAAAATAAAAAAAAGAGAATAATACGTGCACGGTCTCCTCCTCACTCCCCGCAGCTGAGCTAACACTATACTGGTATGTGTGCAAAGCTCAGTCAGTATGGAATTAAAGCTTTCCTAGTGGGGGATTGTGGGATTGAATTTCGCATTAATTAATGCCTGTTTAGGTGGCATAATTGCGTGGCGGAGGGAGTCTGGAAGGAAAACACTGGTAGATTATAACACTGTCTAATTACGTTTCACAATAATAATGATATTTATCGGGTTATCCTGTATTTAGGACCGTTAATTATACCGTGGGATAATATGAATGGAAGATAATATAAATATTTAATATATCTTCCACAAAGCATAAATAATTTACTCCTTTTTTATGTTACTGAATTTAATCGAGTGTTGTTTTGTTTCATTACTGCTACATTTCTTCCATATATTTTGCACCGTTGTAAACGGTAAATTGAAATGTCGTTGTACTCTGAATTGACATAATTCGTTCAATGCACATGACAATAGAAATATTAACTCTTGAATTCAAATGTGAAGCCAAGATAAGGCCTCGGATCCAGACTGAGGTTAGACAAAAACTTTCTATTGTTAAATTATTAAATTGAAACAACAGATAGGAGAGCTAGGCAGGTTCACTGATAAATAGAAACGCAGCCTGTAGACTGTGTGCAGTGACACTCAAATATACTTGTGATGAAGTGGTCCACTTCAGCTCGGCCGTGATGGAATCTTTCTGCAGTTGGTAATTTAAAGGCCGGGGGAGGGACCGCAGCCGTAATGCGTCCCTGGGGGAGGGAAGACTGTGGTGAAGCAGACCAGCACCGCTCCATGTGCCGGACCGCTGCAGGGGACAGACTGTGGAAGGCTTGGAGTGGCTTAACTTGTTGCTTTATTTCATTAATGACATCACTATTAACTGAGTAATCATACCAATTCAATTTGTCAGGTAATTTGTCTTTAACATAAAGTTTCTTTTATTGTTTTTTACATATATATTATATATTTGGATTGCTGTCACTGAACAGTTGGACCTTTTCGGTCCACCGTAGTTGAGGACAAATATCTTTAACCATCCAGTGTTCCTAGACCTGCGTCTCCCTTTATATTAAAGTCAAATATCGTTTGTGTCTTACAGGTTTGCTTTGCCACAATGTTGAGCCGTCTGTACAGCGAGGTGCTGCCGGACGTCCAGAGGCTGGCGGCCGACTGGGTGGACGACAATGGGAGTGAGGAGTGTAAGGTTAAGGGTGACGAACACGAGTCCTGTCTTCTCGGGGACGATGACCTGGACGAACCGCAGGAAGGCAGCAGTCGAGCCGAGTCTGAGATGGCTGGAGACGACGACGACGACGACGAGGAGATGGACGAGGACGAGTGTGGAGACGAGAACAGCGCCGACAAGCCCAAGAAGCGCGGCCCGAAGAAACGCAAGATGACGGCGGCGCGCGTGGAGCGCTCCAAGGTGCGCAGGATGAAGGCGAACGCGCGCGAGCGCACGCGCATGCACGACTTGAATTCCGCGCTGGACAATCTGCGCAAAGTGGTGCCGTGCTACTCCAAAACGCAAAAACTCTCCAAGATTGAGACTCTAAGGCTGGCGAAAAATTACATCTTGGCCCTTGGGGAGATTTTACGCAATGGGAAACGACCGGATGTGGTGGCCTACGTGCAGATGTTGTGTAAAGGCCTGTCGCAGCCAACCACCAACCTGGTGGCAGGCTGCTTGCAGCTGAACACCAGGAACTTCCTGACTGAGCCCTGTTCAGATGGAGCCCGTTTTCACATGCCCACGTCCCCTTTCTCCGTCCACCCATACCCCTACCGCTGCCCCCGCATCTCCAGCCCGCACTACCAGCCTGGCAGCGGCGCGCTCAATTTGCGGGGTCACAGCTACCCCCCTGGTTATGACGCCCTGTACCAACCTGGAGGTACGTCTCCTGACTACAGCAGCCCGGAATACGAGGGCCAGCACAGCCCGCCCGTGTGCGTCAATGGTGGAGCGTCGGGGCGGCAGCAGGAGTCCTCGGAGACGGACAGGAACTATCACTACTCTATGCATTATTCTGGACTCGCCACGTCTCGACCCGGCCACAGCTTACACTATGGGCCCTCGGGGCCGCGCAACGACGCTGCGCACTCGGAAAATATTTCCCCATTCCAGGACGTGCACGCGCACCACGACAGGGCTCCTCCTTATGAAGACCTTAATGCTTTTTTCCACAACTGAGCCCCCGGGACAATCAGATGCCACGCACCGTTGTTTGGAGCACACGAAGAGGCCGGCTGTGTGATGGACGCGTCCGTCCTCCGATTACCTTCTGTATTCTACTGACGTCATCCCTGCACTGTTGTACATCCTCCCAAAGTGTGTTAACTATTATCATCATGTATGCAGAATGAGTGCAACCGATCTAAATGTACAGGCCCAGAAGGGAAACCATGTTATGACAAAAACAACAGAAATAAAAAGAAAAAAGTGTTTTATAATTGTCTGAAGTCATGAACCTCGTGTCCTTCACACACATGTCCACATGAAACATACACACAGCAGAAGGATCCTTCACACACATGTCCACATGAAACATGTCCATGGGGAAACATTCGTGTTATGTGTCATAAATCTCTTCGTTCGATTAGATTTTTTACATCCAAAAAATAGTGTTTTTTATTGTTTTAACGAATTCAAAAAGTCTAGTTTATCACAAACATGTATTCGACCTAAAAGTCTTTCCTCCAATGGATTTGCTTACAGAGACTGTTATTGTTAATATTTCAATTGTTTTGTTAAGTGGAAAACGTTACCTAAAAGTCAGAACTAAGATTTTCAAATAATCTGCACAAGGTAATGTGTTAAACTCAATTATTTAAAAAATAAATGAAATAAAAAATTTAATGAGTGTATCTATTCACAGCATATGAAGGTTTTTTGGCCTGTTGCATTGAAAGCTGCTACAGTAAGGTAGCCATTTGCACCATAGTGAAGTCTTTGAAGGTTTGGACATTGATAGAATCATCTATAACACTGTAAAAAAATTATATTCCAAAAAGTATTAAAAATTAAACAAACCAAAAAGAGGTTTTCTAAATTAACAAAAAAGTTAAACATATTATAAAATAATGCGCAATATTGGCCATTTAGAAATGTACTTTTAAAGCCAAAAAGGTCACAATTAAAAACAAATCTGGAAAAAAAAAACAGCGAAGACTGGATATAACTGGGGGAAAAAAACAAAGTGTTTTTTATGGAAATAAAGTAATGTGAAATCAGTTCAAAAAGATTGTAGCCCTGACTGAACAGTTTCGACTTCTTTATTATTATTTTAGGCATTTTTTTTTTTGCATAATCAGTTTGGATCAATGAGCAGAAGTTCCTTGACAATAACGTGAAAGTATCTTATTAGGAAAGACAAAGACGCTACTGGTGTTTATTTATTTATTTTTTACCAAATCCTCTCAGGCGTTTAATTTATTTTAATTTATAAAAGTAATATTTAAATGTAGAACTTAATCCCGAAAATTTACATCCCGAAAAGCAGGACAGAATCATATAATATAATATAATATATATATA